GCTGCCGGCACGTCCCCGGCCGAGCCCGGCCGAGCCCAGTCCCGGCTGCCGGGGGCTGCTGAGCGCTGCTGGGGGCTGCCGAGCACTGCTGGGGCTGCTGAGCGCTGCCGGGGGCTGCCGGGGGCTGCCGAGCGCTGCCGAGGGCTGCCGGGGGCTGCCAAGCGCTGCTCGCTGCTCTCCTCGCCCACACCGGCCTCGGACGGCCCAGCGTTTCCCTTCTCCTGCGGAACACCGCGGGCCCTTCCGCGCCGCCAGGAACGCGGACATTCCGCAGGGCACGAAACCCACAGCATTTCTTGCTGTGACAGGGTGCGGGGAATGTCAAATATCTCACATTTCCCTTGATCACTGTATTTTTTCCCCCTGTGAGACGGTGCGAGGAATATGAAATATTTCGCGTTTCCCTGGGTTAGCGAATCTCCATGAGTCAGCTCCTGGGGAGCGGGGCAGCCCGGTTCGGGGGCACGGGGAGAGAAGGGGATGTTCCCGCTTGGTGCCAGCATCCCTCACATGCCCTTATGGCAGCCAAGACCACCGTGTCTCGGCTGGCCAGACCGCCAGCCCTGCCCACAGCTCAGCACCCTGCCCACGTCCCAGCACCCTGCCCACAGCCCAGCACTCTGCCCAAGCCCAGCATCCTGCCCACGGCTCAGCACCCTGCCCACAGCCCAGCACCCTGCCCACAGCCCAGCACCCTGCCCAAGCCCAGCACCCTGCCCACAGCCCAGCACCCTGCCCAAGCCCAGCACCCTGCCCAAGCCCAGCACCCTGCCCACAGCCCAGCACCCTGCCCACAGCCCAGCACCCTTCCCAAGCCCAGCACCCTGCCCACAGCCCAGCACCCTGTCCACAGCCCAGAACCCTGCCCACGGCCCGGCACCCTGCCCACAGCCCAGCACCCTGCCCACAGCCCGGCACCCTGCCCACAGCTCAGCACCCTGCCCATGACCCAGCACCCTGCCCAAGCCCAGCACCCTGCCCAAGCCCAGCACCCTGCCCACAGCCCGGCACCCTGCCCACGGCCTGGCACCCTGCCCATGGCCCAGCACCCTGCCCACAGCTCAGCACCCTGCCCAAGCCCGGCACCCTGCCCACAGCTCAGCACCCTGCCCACAGCCCAGCACCCTGCCCACAGCCCAGCACCCTGCCCATAGCCCAGCACCCTGCCCAAGCCCAGCACCCTGCCCACAGCTCAGCACCCTGCCCACAGCCCAGCACCCTGCCCACAGCCCGGCACCCTGCCCACAGCGCAGCACCCTGCCCAAGCCCAGCACCCTGCCCGCTGGTCAGCACCCTGCCCACAGCCCGGCAGCCCTGCCCAAGCCCAGCACCCTGCCCATAGCCCAGCACCCTGCCCAAGCCCAGCACCCTGCCCAAGCTCAGCACCCTGCCCACAGCTCAGCACCCTGCCCACAGCCCAGCACCCTGCCCACGGCCCAGCACCCTGCCCACGGCCCAGCACCCTGCCCGCTGGTCAGCACCCTGCCCAAGCCCAGCACCCTGACCATAGCCCAGCACCCTGCCCACAGCCCAGCACCCTGCCCACAGCCCTGCACCCTGCCCAAGCCCAGCTGCGGCTCCGGGGTGTCACAGCAGCCTCAGCTTTGTCCCGTGTCCCTCACGGAGCGCTCCGGCTCCGCACCTCGCACGGGAAGGAGCACGCTGGAAGAAACAATGCCCGCTCCCCATTTTTCGAAAATATGAGTGCTGTGAAGAGCTCAGTTAACCCCGTACTTGGTGTGTGCAACACGAAGGGAGTTTCTGTAACATGTAGTAAGAGGGAGAATATATCCTGGGACCCGGGAGGAAGGTTTTGGAGAAGTACGAGTATGGACTGTAACAGCACTTGGCAAGCCTGAACCAAATGCATTTCGTTCTTGATATAAGAACCTTCAAGGCTAATATCCAGTGCTAAACATGCTGAGGGTGGAAACAAGTATTTCCAGGCTCTTTTGGATGTGCCTAGCACTGGGGCCATTGTGGCTGTGCAGGCAGGAGGTGTCCTAGCCTGCAGCCCCCAGGTCACAGGTTGTGCCAGTAGTGAAGACTTAGTAGGGGAAGGAGGAGAAGCGCTGGGGTATCCTCTGGGAAAATGAAATATTATGAGTAGGAAATGGCTGCACCATGTCTCACACGGGCTGTTTACCTACCTGCCCTTTTGATCCATTTCATATCATGTGCTCTGCCTACTCTTTCCCCCCCTTGCTGTTCTCTGTGCTTTCTTTCCTTAACTCCTTTTGTACCATTCTTCCTCCTGCACACATCCATCTTCTTGGGCATCAGGAGGCAGGGGGATATCATCCCTTCTTGCACCCCATCACCTCTGGCCATTAGGTAGAGTTAAAATCTCCTCACAGACCAGGTGTTATTGCACCACGGAAACCATCTTTGTCACTTGCAATAGTAACACCTATAAACTTTACAAATTTATGGCCTTGGTACAGTGAAAACACATGGTAGGAAAAAACTGCTGCACCCAGGAGGCTTGCAAACATGATCCTGGGTGTCTTAAAAGGTGTAGAGTTCACTGGCCCCATTGGGGAGCCTGGAGAAAAGGCATCTGCAGCTTCTCAAGGGAGCTGCAGGTGGGTGGCCCAGAGGTGACCCAAGCAAGTGATTCCTGTAGAGGGGAGCAGGTCCCTGCTATAAGCAAGAGCTGGTACTGCATGAGCCACAGCACTCCATGGCAAAACCTGCAGCTTGGAGGCTATTGGGCACCAGTCTAGGGCAACTGCATTGTCCATGGGATACTCAGAGCCCTGGAAATGGCCTGAGCAAGCACGCCACTGTAACACCCTGAGCACAGGCATGTTTCAATCTGAATGGGACCGGGCAGGGGGGCAGTGCTGTCCCTTTGTGCTGTCACAGCTGCAAACAGAAAGAAGAGTCCAGGCTAATTCCTTTATAATTCTTCTGAGGGTCAAGCCTGGGGCTGGCTGGGTGTTAATTCAGATTTCCCCAACTGTTGCTTCCTTCTGTTTCCTTCCCTCTCTTCCCTCTAATAAAGTTCTGTTCATTTAAAGCTTTCTGATATGACTGGTGAAACATTACCTAATCCAAAGTGCATGGAGGCATTTAGTGTCCCAAGTTTATGAATGTATGATTGAGACAGGGTTGCTCCAGTTTCCAAGGACACATGGTTCAAAACCAGACCCAGCTTAGCAGCACATGCTGGAAGTGTTACAGAACATAGAAGACAAACCTAAGAAATGGGATGACAACGATGAGGTGAGGGATGCTCCTAGGATCTCTCATCACCTCAAGACATTCTATAACCCAGCTATGGATCCCTTCCAACCTGGGATACTCTGTGATCCTGTGATACAGCAGGCCATCAATGGCAGAGTGGAGATCTCTGAGATCTCAGCCTGCCTGACAGCTTGTCCCTCACGAGACTGGACATGGACACGGATGTGTCCTGACGGATGCTAGGTCATGTGTTCAGGCTCAGTTTGGCTACTCTGAATGTGCCCAAGGAAGTCTCTTACTCATTTATTTGCCAAACCACTCTGTTCTTACAATTGTCCCTTTGTTCGTTCTGTTGGAAGTTCTCACACTGCAGAGCCTCAGGCTGAGAAATCAGTGTCACTGTCGTAGAGGGGGCAGTAGCAGCATAGATATGCCCTAGGAATTTATCCAAACATTTGCTTTCTGTGCTCTATAAAAATATTAAAAACACTAGAGACCAGTGCTGCATCCAGCGATATGATCCACCCATGACCTTCTCTGAAAACACAATGCCATCTCACACAGGCAAAATTTCAGTACCTAGAATTGCAGAATGAAGAATAATACAAATTATGAAAATCCACACTGGTAGCCCTTGATATCTGTGATACCTCTCTATGCTTTGAATAAAACAACTAAGAGTAGCATTTCAATCTTTATAATTACCTTAATTAAATGACCAACATATTATTTTATTTGTCTGTCTTTTAAAATAATTATTTTATTACAAATTTAAAAATCAGTCCTTAATAAGTTTGGGGTGGGTTTCAGCTCTGTATTGAGGGGCTGTGGGCTCAGCTCCACTGGCCAGACACGTGTCCTGGGATGCACAAGACTTTTATGTGGTGCTGTGGGAATTGACACAGCACAGTCCCAAATATGTTTGCACTGCTATCTAGAAGCCAGAGAGGGCACCAAGGTCTCAGGTGATAAAAACAACTTCTCCTTTACCTTATGTGTTGACACTTAGATGCAGACACCTAAACTTAATGTAATAAATTTAATAATGACGATTTCTGCTAAGTCCTGATGTCTAAATTGTTTCAGAGAGCTTCATTTACTCCTTTACTCTCATGTCCTGGCAAGATAAATCCTAAAATGTCACCACTGTGACTAAGAAAGTAGTTCTAGGACTCTTTCTGCCCCATGGCCTAGAGTTGTGGCATTCCTCATGACCACACAGGTAAGCAACCTTCTCTCCAAAAGTGAGTGGCCCCATCGTAAGCGCCTGTTGGCAGTGGTTCAGCTCCTGAACCGTGTCTGAGCTGTGACTGCAGGAGCACAGGCTGGCCTGGGATAAGTGATGGCAAACCATGGGCCTCTCTACACCTCACTCACATATTTGTATCATCTTTTCAGAGCTCTGCTTGTCAGTGTTATATCCACCTTTTATGACAACATAATATTTTAAGGCCAGCATGAAATGTGAATGCAATTTTCTAAAATAAGCGTGGTCTGTTTAATGAAGTGAAAATCATAACCATAACATTGCTTCACTTAATCCAGAAGCTTTTCACAGATATCCTGCAAATGGCAACTTTACTCAGCTAAGGCAAGCTTGCTAAGCCCAGGAGTGCCAGGTTTTCTGAGAGTTGACTGTGTTTTGCCCTTTCATCCTACCTTGGCTTCACATTGTAAAAGTGCAGATGCTTAGGAAATTGCCTCCAGGTGTTGAGTGATCTGAGTTTCACAAAAATAATAAACCTTGATCTGAGATAGATGACCTTCTTGTCAGCATAGGATCTTCAGGCTTGCAGAAGAGAACTGAAAAGGGTCTTTTTCCATTCCCTTGCTGCAGCTGTGAGCTCTTTTGGAGAGTCTCAGAGAGATTCAGTATTGTTCTGTTTTCTTGGGCAAGAGATTTTTGATACACGCCAAGAAAAAGGTGGATTTGGGGAGATATGGGAACTTATGCTAAAGTCCCTCATTCAGGTACTGTCTGTTAACTTAGACATGGCACTTCAGTACTCAGCACGGAGCAAGACATCTCTTATGGAGGCATCCAGGACCATAAAGCCCCACGAGGTGTCTCTGCACAAAGGCCTGGAATGGAGACCTGTCCTCCAGTTCTCTTTGTACATCTCATGGACCTAAAGCACCTGGTCTTTCTGCCTTCATTTCTTACACTAGAAAGAAGTGGCAGTACTATTTTGTTTTCTCTTGAGGGTTCTGTGTTGGCTGATTTATAAACAGGGATGAAATCTGGAAGTCTTTACATAGGGGCTTGCTATAATTCCAGTCCTTTGTCCCATGTCTTCCACTAGACAAACGAATGCATTAAGGGCCTCTGATGTGCACAGCAACTGCTGCTCAGCTGTCTTTATGACCCGTACAATATTTACTGTGCTGCCAGGTTCAACAGTGCTGGAAAAAAATAATTGTAGATGCAATTTTACTGTAGAAATTGTTTAGAACCTACTAAAGCTTTAGCCAGAGCATATGGGATTTTTTTCTTCTATAAAAAGCCCGAGGGTTAGTGTCTGTTTAATATTCAGGAGGCAAGAAATGCTTCTAGCACTCAGAAACAGTGAAAAGCATCCTGGTGGGATCCCTGAGATGAGATACTAAATCCTGAACTTGCACTCCTTGTTCTCTTATTACAGCAGACATCGAGGGGTAGCCCTTGTGTCCCTGCACATCATCACCAGCAGCAACAAAGACATTAACTCAGTGCTGCTAATGAGGGCCGGGTGAGCACTGGAATAGGAAGCTGTGTTGACATTTAAAAGATCCCAGCCATCAGGCTCCATGTTGCCTAATTGCCAGGGCTGTGTGGGAAGCACTGCTTCAATGTCTCCATCTAGTATGGACATGACGGGCAGGAATACACTACTCCTATGGAATGTCAGTTACTTCAGGAAACAATTAGCCTTTCTGAATATTCAAAATATGTCAAAACATTTTTCCTTTTTACCTTTTAGAGCTCTTCAAAGCTGTGAGTGTGTCAACATCATTCCACCTACTTGGAGGCGGCTCTGGAATATTTGATTCACAGATGTTTCTCTTGGTTGGTGTCAAACCTCAAGGTGCTGTAGCCAAATCAAATCTTTGCAAGTAATACAGAAAAAAATGGATCTTGCCAAAGGGTGGTCTGGTCAGCATGTACCACTACTATGTTCCTTTCTTCTCCAAAATACAGTGCCCATGACCAAATTTCTTGTAACCTTGGACTATGCTTGTTCCCAAACAGTGCTAGGTGTGTCTGGGAGAGGGTCAGTTTACCCTGGTCAACAACATGTGAAGGACTGCCCTAACAATTTAATAGCATAGGTGATCATGCTCTGGAGTCTGGGCCTGGGTCCTGACACTTTAATTTACTAGCAGTGATAGAGCCAGTGGGTAGTAAGAACAGGATCATCTACTCAACTGGTCTGATGGTGTATCACAGACTATTATGTCTCACCTTGCTTCCCTTTCATAAGGGTTTGCCTGAGGCATCTCTACTAGGAAGACATCCAATCTTGATCTGAAAACATCAAGAGACAGAGAATCCAGCCCTACTTTGGGTAAGTAGTTCCCAGGATTAATTGCTCTTACTATTAATAATGCATGCCTTGGTTTCTTTGTATGAATTTGTTTGGCTTCGGCTTCCAGCCGTTGATTCCTGCTATGCTCTCTCCACTAGATGAAGAAGATCTTTTGCATATGGTATTATCTTCTTGTGGTGGTACTTGTATGCTTTAATCAAGTCATCAAGTCATGGCTCCATCTTTTTGATAAGGTAAGCAGAGAGATTCCTTCCAGGCTTTCACTAGAGAGAGACATTTTTCTCTCATCCTCTCTCTGACCTGTCTCCAGCTTTTACAATTAAAATACAAGACACCAGAACTTTATGCACTTTGCCAGTATTAGTCTTACCAGAGCAGTGAGGAGAGATAAGATCAGCTCCCCACTCCTACTCACTACTTCCTTGTTCATACATCCATGAATCACATTATCCTCTCCTGCTTTACAGTAGGAACTCACTTAAATTCAGTCTGCGGTCCTTGATTTCCATGGCTGCCTGCTGTCTACACAATAGGCTCATTCCCTGGTCCTACAGCAGTGTCTATGTTAAGACATATCTTTAAAATCAGGTTTTCTGCATTGTCTGTGTTATAATGTCCCACAAGCGTGTTCTGAAGTTAAATCCCTGTGCTGCTCAGTTAGCATTCTTGTGCATGGAATAAAGAGAATAACCAAAAGTTGTTCCTTAGAAAATGAATTACAAAATTCCCCTTAATGTTAATAGGAGTGGGAAAAGCTCATGGCATTTGTTCATCAATGTGAATCTGTAACTAAATTTTCTTCAGAAAATGTGAAAGCTATGCTGTTCTAATACGTTTTCATATGCAAGATCTTATAACTGCTGTAACCAGTGAACACACATTGACTCCTTCCCACTGCAACTGACAATATTTTCTCTTCTTAAGAAAAAAATAAATCAAGTCTAACCTGTCTTTCCAGCAAAGATTTTCTGTTCATTAAAATCTGAGCACTGCTGCATGGATTTTGGCTCGATAGCAGAACGTACCCCATTCATCCCAAAGGCAAGTGTAGTCTGTGTGGCAAATCCAGCATTATGAAGCTTTTTTACAGTCAAATCAGAGCTATTCTTTGAAGGATTGTGATGGTGCAATCATCAAGGCATTTTTTCAAGTTAGCAAGAAAAGACACAAAGCAAGATGATCTGACGATTTTAAGAAGTATTTTTTAGATATGTAGATTGAAAGAACAGCCCTGAAACTTTTACATGAGCAATTCTTACATCTTTGGCCCCACTGATTTTGATGAGGTTTCTGGTTGGGAAAGGACTTCAGGATTTGACTTGTGTCAATACTTTCAGCCACTGATTTTTCCATGTAAATATGAGGTCACATTGATGTCATAAGACTGAGAAATCAGTCTTGTGGGCTCATTAACAGGGGACAAGCATCTAGAAGCCTACAGAGTTTTGTGGCTAGCCAAAGATTACAGTGTGGAACCAACATATTAATGCACAAAAGAAGAAAGTACATTTAAGTCCATGCAAAGCTACCAGCTCGTGTGCAAGATACACTTTATATTAAAGCTCAAGAGCTCACAAACTCTGCCATTTAGAACAGGAGCTGGTAATTCTGAGGAACACTTCAGTTTGTGTCTGAAGCTACTTTTAGAGGCTACCTGTAATTAATGTTCATGGACTTGTCATTGCCAGATGGTCACATGAAATTAAATTATTATTCTTATTATTACTGAAGAGCAGGGATGCTCCCTGCAGAACTCAGGAGGGGGAAATGCTTCCCCACAAAGCCATGGCTCTCGCTGAGGGCTGAGCACGAGGTTGGGGTGTTTGTGGAGACTTTTACCTCTGCAATATGCATCTCACTGCGGTCTGTTTGTGCTCCCCCAGGTGCCTGCAGCACACTCTGTGTGTGAATGCCTCTCAGTGATGTATTAAACGAATCACCTACCTGTCACATCATCTCAGATGCAGGTCTGCAGTCAGAGAGAACTCACTGCCTAAATGTTTAAAACGAGCAAGGAAAGTCAATTACGTTTTTTATAAACACAGCTGGATCATGAGCATGAAAATCCGAGTTAATAAGAGTCTGACCACGAAGCATTCCGTGAGCAGGGTGGGATTTTTGTGTCGGCAGAGCCGTAGCTGTCCCAGTGGCTGGGTGGCAGTGGAGGTGTGCTGCCCGTGGGAAACCTGACCCGGCGAGTTCCCAGGCGGGCGAGCGGAACGCGGTCACTGCCGGTACCTGTCGGGAGAGCAGCCGCACACCTCACCCGCCGAGTGCCGCTGCCAAAGCACTGCTGGCGGCCCGAGAAACTGTTAGAAACAGTGCTCGGATTCCTCAGCTGCCTAAAAACTCTGCTGAGAGAAGAATCAAAATAGCCATATACAAAACATCACTTCCCAGCCTCTGTCAGTCATTCCTGGGAAGCCGATATGTGTTCTGCGAATGCATCATGGAGAAACCTGGCCAGCAGAGGTCAGATATGGATTTGAACAGTTAGGGAGAAAAAAACTTTTCCGATATATTCTTTGGCTTGATATTGTCTCTTGATATTTGAGGATGGATAGGTGTTTGGTGCTAGTGTGCAGAGCTGGTATGCCTTGAGCCATTTTAGTTTCCATCCTTATAGTATTTGCTGTGTTACTCTCCTTTAGTACATTTTTAATGGTAAATTTCATATATTGACTCAGTAATGAAAACTAGATTATAAGGAAAGTTATAATTTTAAAACATGATGTATGTATTTCCCTCCTTTCCTCTATTCTTTATTTCTTCCTCATTTCACTTTTCCTTTCCTTTCCTTTCCTTTCCTTTCCTTTCCTTTCCTTTCCTTTCCTTTCCTTTCCTTTCCTTTCCTTTCCTTTTCCTTTCCTTTCCTTTCCTTTCCTTTCCTTTCCTTTCCTTTCCTTTCCTTTCCTTTCCTTTCCTTTCCTTTCCTTTCCTTTCCTTTCCTTTCCTTTCCTTTCCTTTCCTTTCCTTTCCTTTCCTTTCCTTTCCTTTCCTTTCCTTTCCTTTCCTTTCCTTTCCTTTCCTTTCCTTTCCTTTCCTTTCCTTTCCTTTCCTTTCCTTTCCTTTCCTTTCCTTTCCTTTCCTTTCCTTTCCTTTCCTTTCCTTTCCTTTCCTTTCCTTTCCTTTCCTTTCCTTCTCTTCCTTCTCTTCCATCTCTTCCCTCTGTTGTCTGTTCCCTCTTTGTCTCTGTATTTCTATGCCCATTTTTCTCAGGCTCACAGGCCTGTTTTTTGGACCTGGCTGCACTGGATGATAGAGTTACACCCACAGATTCACCCTCCCTAAACTCATTCACAGACAGACTTGCCACTGCATGTTTCCCTCCTTTCTGAAGGAGGGAAAGCTGAACAAATTGCACAGAAAAAATTGAAACAACTTAGATTTCCTTTCTAGCTTCTTTAGATGCCACAATAAGTGAGATTGAGTTATTCTTTATTTACTCTGCAGATACAGAGAACAGTACTCATTGCACAGAGGGGGAAACTGGGGTGGGTTAGTGACAAGCAATAAACACCCTGTGGCTGTTCCAGAGGGGCTGGACTCTGAACTGAGTGATGCTGGCATCCTGGCCAGGGCTGGGGCAGGGTCTGGACACCCACCAGCAGTGCCCAGCCATGGCTGCTCAGCCTTTGGGCTCATGAAAGCCAACAGTGCTTCTCAAAGGTTTGTTTGAAAGTAGCCTTGAAGAAAATGAAGACAATGTGCTACAATAAACATCCACTTTTATATATGTAAGTGTCAGGTATTGGTAAACTTCATAGCTGGAAGCCAAAGCCATTTACTATTTGTACCCTGTTGATAGAAATTAAATGCTTCTGGTCCATAGGTGGTTTCCTTTACATCAACTTCAATCATATCTACAGTTCTTTGTGCAAATATCTACCAGCAATAGTTTTAAAAGTTACATTTCTAGTGCAGCTATTTCCTTCTTTCTTCACACTTAGCATCTGTTCTAAGACAGCAAGTAAGCTGTTTTTTAGGAGAAAAGTACTCAGGCCAGGAAAGAAAGCACAGCCTTGGCTGAAGGGCAGCCCTTGACAGACATTTGCAGTCTTCATCATGAGTATCCTAACAGGACAGATATTTGTTCAATCCAAGTTTGCCCTTTCCCCTTTAACACACGTTTTGTTTGTATTATATAATTTCCTGATATAATTTCCTGAGCTCAAGAATGAGAAGAAGAGGAACTGTTCTGGAACAGTAGACCTCCTGTGAAGGTTTTTTTCCCTGTTGCGAGTCACACTTTCAGAGGGAGAGAACCCAGATTTTTGTCTCTCAGGAAGTGAGATTCAACAATAGTAGGAATATTGTATCTTGATATAATAGAGCTGTACCAAGGTCAGGGTGAGAGGGGGAAAGAGGACAACATGAGCTGTTGGCTCCTGGCAGATTGGTAAACATCTCCCATTGCAGGGAGCTCAAAAAGGAAAAACAATTCCCATTTTCAAGTGTCCTATTATTCCTCTGAAAATGTTTTATATGTGTATGTTAGAGAAATGCTCACAGACTTTGGTCTGCATTGGGACCACCTGATATGAGCAAGGGAGATTCCCCACCTGGGGAGAGGCTGCAGTCCAGAGAGACAAGAGGGAGGAAAGAAGTCTTCAGCAAGGCATTGTGCAGTCTGCCAGGACAGCCCTGCTCCTCTGCACTTCCAGGCTGCATTTCTGTGGGCCATACCTGAAAAACATGTGAGGTGCAATGGACCTGGTTCATAATAAACAGCTCCTATTCCATGTAAAGGTCTGAAAATGGCATTTCTAATAAATGCTGGCATTTATGGATTTACTAGCCCAGCATTAAAAGTAGAATGAATGTTTCAATAGGACTTATGATCGTACCATTTGTCTCTGCTAACAAAGGCTGTAAGCAAGTGTGAAGAACAGGTAATACAATTTACACCAAGAAACATCTCAGTAAATACCTAACTATACCATTTAAACTGTGCTTGCTGAAGCCCTGGGCTATACTCTGCTGCTTGAATTTTTGTAAATCCTTGACATTACAGCTGCTTAAATCCATGCCAGGAGCAATATTGGATCTCTCAAGCAGAGATAGAGGCTTCATTGTCCAAAATTAAAGATGCATGAAGGCTCAGATAGGTTTTCACTTTTAGCTACTCTGCTCTGGTGTTGGGGAGCCTGTGTAAGAGAGTCCAGCTGAAGGATCAAACCCTTTACCTCTGTGACATGGGCGATAGGCATCACTAGCACAGTGTGTCTGGATCATGAAGATGCAGCAGAGCTACCTTGTTTCTGATTTTCTTTGTGCTTTGAGGGCTCTGGAGCTACTCCTGCACCCTGAACAAAGCAGAGAGTCCTGCCAGCCCAGCCCCGTGTCTGAGTTTTAACTAAATTAACTGCAATCCTTCCCAGTGCAATGCTAGATGTGTTACCTGTGTGATCATGTACATTTCCTTTGAGTGCACTTCTCAGGATAGTTCTTTAACACATCTAGAAAAACATAATTAGATAAATATGCCTACAATATCATCAAATTGGGACTGAAAATAATCACATGGGAACACCTCTTCTACTTCCTTTTTGGAGACAAAAAAATTGGTTGTACAGAAGGGCATCAAGTGATGTGTCAACAAGAGAGTCAGAAATGGACATAAGCAAAAGGAGTTCTGCATAGATTTCTACATAAACTCTTCTGCATTCTCTGCATTTTCAGGGAGATTAGGAAAAAATAAAATTCAGATCATGTGGATTTCAGTACTCCCATTAAATGAGGCTTTCTCACTCATAACACTCACTTCTTCTCAATTTATTAAAATTGAGCTGAAAACTCAATATTTCTTCTTCCATGAGCCTTGCAATGGTGGGTCCTTCCTTTGGTGGGCACAAAAAATGAAGTCAAATGTGCTGGGACACTAGAGATACCATGGCATACCTTTGTCAGAAGAGACATGGTATACTTGGGGATGAAAAGAAATTTCCACCATCTTCCAGGAATTCCTTGGAGATGAAGAGTAATGATAAATCTTTCCACTTCCTTGCATGGTTTAGGGTTGCTACACAGTGTTTGAACAGCTGCTCTTGTCCCATCCCTGAAGGTGGCTGCAAGTCCGTGGAAGAAGAAGAAATCTGAGCATATATCATTCTGAAGTGGCAGACAGGATGAGTTATTGGGATTTTTGCCACTGATAAATCCCTTATTTCTGTTAGTGATACTGAACATACTGTGCAGTCATGACTGGGGAGTTTCAGCAACTCACCACAGTGCTGAGTGTGCCTGTCATGTAACAGAAAGGTTTAGCTCAGTGTCCTGGCTCAAATTTCCTAATATACTAACCTCTATAAACTCCCTTTAAAGCCCCCAGAAGAGACATCTCATGGAGCAAACTCCACTGTCCCGTGACTTGGGTAACTTACTATTTACAGCTGTCCTGCAGTTTCCTAACCATAGAATTCCTGTAAAATAATGCAGTAAATGTACCATGTGTAGCCCCTTCTTAGAGGTCTTGCATAGAGTAAAAACTGCATGTATGTAATTTCCCCCATATTTAGTAGCCTTAAAGGCATAATGGTCAAAGCCATTATTTATTGCTAATTTCCCCAGCTGATCCAAGAAAGCGTGATTTCTTACAAAAGAGGGAAATATCTTCAGTCTACCACGTGTTGCTACAAGACTGACGTCTGGGTAATTCCCACACATCCTCCATGCTGGATACTCCAGCAGAAGAACTTCTAAAATACACTGCTTCTTTGCCCCAGGGGACCTTAGTGAGTGACAACTCTGTGCAGCTGCATTTGGTTCTGTCTGACTGGCATCTGACAGAGGGCTTAAGCAACTTCGGTTGTGTCTGTGGTGGTACCACTGATCTGGTCAACCTCTCCATGGTCACTTCCCAGTCTGCTGTGCTCAGTGTCAGCTCACTGCTTGCCAGCTTTCAGCTTTGCTGTGTCTCCACAGGCTCCTCCTGGAACACATCAGGCACAGACTCCAGGTGGAAGCAGCTTCACTTAAATGTCAATGTGTAAAAGCTGTTTTTAGCTTCCCTCTGCCTTCTGTGTCATCAAAGAAGTGTGCAGAGGGGGGTATTTTTCTCATTCAAAGGCAACTGTCAAAGTTAGATAAGAAGAGAATTTTCCTCCAACTTCCTATTTCGCCTCTAATGACTTTAATGGAGACTCAGAAGAGCTGAGACCTAAGTAACAAAATTTACATATCTGAATTGAATTGGTATCAGACCATCTCTGTCTCTTAGTCCTTCATGAAACCAGAAGCCCACAAGCCCATTGCTGCTGGCCCTTAGAACAGCCACAGCTCCTCAGCAGGACAACTTGATCACTTAAATAGAGGGGACTATCCAGGGAAGGGATGAGTTTGTGGAGCAGGTGGCAAGTTAGTACCTATACATAGAAACAGGCTTTGTGTGAGTTTTGTGGCTTTTCTTCTGAAAGACTAAAAAAAAAAAAAAAAAAAAGAAAAGTGTGGATGGTTTAGGAATGCATAAAGTTATGAATTCTGTGTGATTTCCAGCAGCTCATCTGCTGGAGGCCAGCAGACACAACAGTCCCCAGTGAAAGCAGATCCTGCCAATCCTCTCTGCTTCTCATTGATCAACTCCAAGAAGAAACCTCAGCCTCTTCCCTCCCAGCTCCCCCACACTGAAGAGCTATTTTGCACCAGGCAGTGAACACCTTTTCTCTTTTTGTCCTGTTTATAACAGCAGAGGATCAGTAATTTCCTGTGGCTGGTCCCATGCCATCACATTTTCCCTCTTCC